ATAGCCCCATCATTGTCTACGTTACCCTACGCAAGGATTGTTACCGAAATTCCTTACAATGACCCTTTCCCATATCCCATACACGCGAAACAGAAACGTTTCAATCAGTCTTGCTTCGCTGAAGGCGTGCATTGTTAGATGCATGCATTGCAGAACGCAGACAGCGGCGATCACAGTGTATTCGTGGAATTACTGGAGGCAGCGTTCGAAAAGAAGGCGCGAGGACTTGCAGATAACGAAGAAGACAACCGTCCAAGACGACAATGTCACAGGGCAGTTCTGTTCCTATTAAAGCGTCCGCGGTGGCGGAACCGGGACCTTGGTGGAGGTCTACCGGGGACGCGCGCCTGGCGCATATGTGCCAGGTACACCGTGGCGCACTTGGTGGCGACTGTTCAATAACTTCCTCGTATTGAGGAAGGTTACCGATGAGATGGAACAAAGGTTAATCTTTTTGCAGGAAATGGTGGTAGCAACTACGAACTGCTGGAGTCGTTACTACAAGGAAAGGACATTAAAGAAGTCAAGCGACACTATGGCCGGCCATTTCCAGCCGAAGAAGCTGATATTGGCCGAACGCTATGGTTTGATGTCGCGATCACAGCGCCCTGGACAAACCTTGCAGGACTACTACGCTGAGCTGCAGAAAGCTGCAGCAGCATGTGAGTTCGAAAAAATAAAGGATCACCGCGATGCGATGGTCACATGGTATTCATAGGAGGGTTAGCTTCTGTGGAAACTATAAAACGATTGTTATAGAGAGAATCCAACATCTAAGGAAGCCTTAGAAGCGATCCGAAGCGTTTGAGAGGGTAGGAAGAACGAATCCCACCCACCTGAAAGAGGGTGTTCAAGAAGTGGGTATCTCCGTGGTTCGCGCAAAAAGGGGAAGTCATTAGCGAAGCCGAAACGAGACTTACCGCTCTTGCGAAGCTCGGTCAAGGCAAAATGAAAGCCGGGTTAAGCAGGCAGCCGCAGAATGATAGAGTTGTGGAGGTCGAGGATATGCCTTCTATCGGTGTTTCGGACGGCACAAACACGATATTGTTGACAAACTGAGATTCTCGACCTGACGACAACATTTTTGTCCTTATAGCTGTGATCGAAAGCGTCGGCAAAGGGCGTGAGAAAAGTCTGACCGCTGGCCCTCGCCAAACATCAATAAGTAATCGATTAGCCGAAAGAACAGCATACTATTATACCTCGCAAAGAATAAAAGAAAACCACAAGTAATCAGAGCAACAATATAGATGGTAGCTTACAAGTAGGGAGGGTCAAGATCGTAGAGAAGAGCGTATAAAGTCAAGCATCATAGCCAGGAGATCCGATAATGCCCGGACATGCGCAGGCGGACGAAATCCCGCTGAATGCCGACGTATCCGGGCAGACCGTCGCAACCCGACTGCCAGACTACCGGTTTGGGAGTGGAACCAGCCACCATGTTGAAGATAAATTCCATGGTACAGACGTCGCGTACGAATTGGATACCGGAGCCTCGGTATCAATCTTAGATGTGGCCTAGTGGAGAAGGATAGGTAAACCTCCGCTCACAGAAGCTACGATTGAGGCAACAGCTTATAACAACAGCCCAATTAAGTTCTGCGGTAAGTGCACGGTTTGGGTCCAGTTTAATGGCAGAAAAGCCGAGATGGACTCACACGTACTAGAGAGGACTACCCGCAGCTTGTTAAGATCATAGAAGAGTAATAAGGTTGTATTCAAACTCCGGTCTTGGAAGATGTACAACCACCCAAGCTACGCTCAAGTTTAAAATGGAGCCAGTGCCGAAGTTTTTTAGAGCACGACCGGTTCCTTTAGCATTACGGCCTAAAGTAGAAGAGAAACTCCAGGAGCTAGTAAACAATGGCACCTTAACACAAGTTGACCATTCGGAGTGGGCTACTCCATTAGTGGTCGTTCCAAAACCTGGAGGTAAAGTTAGAATATGCGGAGACTATAAGATAACGATAAATCCGCAATTAGACATTAACCAGTATCCACTGCCCAAGCCAGATGATCTGTTCCACATGTTAAATGGTGGACAAAAGTTCTCGTGATTGAACCTTTCCGAAGCATACATGCAGATCGAATTGGACAAGGAGTCTAGAATATACTGTAGTGAATACACAAAAAGGATTATTTGAGTATAATAGGATAGCTTTTGGAATAGCATCCGCTCCAGCTATCTTCCAGAAGATAATGGAAACAACGTTAGCGGGAATAGAGGGGGTAGTTATTTATTCAGATGATACCAGTCGGATCGCCCGGCTGACGCCGAGCTCTCCTCCTTATCTTTAGCTGGCTTGGCTTCGCCAGGCGCACTTCATAATGGGAACGAATTTGTTCTTTCACCTAGCTACTCATAATGCGCTGTTTTGATCGAATAGTAATAGATGGAGCAACCCACGCGCGAGCTCACATCCAGTTGCCACGCGAGCAGCTTGAGCAATGGAATGGGGTGTACTAAATGGTTGTCTTGTATAGGGTGAAGGTATTATCACAATCAGAACAACATCTTAGATTGCTACTTTATTATGGACAACCTTGCAATTTGCTAGCGGTTGTATCCTCCTCTCCTGCTATTATCCTACTCAAGCGTGCACTACGCCCTCCCCTCACCGTTCCCCTTCCCCAGAGCATCCTTCACTTGCACATGCTCAGGTCCAGCTGAGCACGTGCAGAGGAAGCAGAGGGGAGGGGTCACTCGGTGCCCCCCCCTCGGCTCCACCCCACCCTGCCCCCGCACGAGCACACGTCCAGCTGCCACGCCAGCAGCTCGTGCAATGGCTCGGAGTGTACCGAATGGTTGTCTTATATAGCGGAGGCTGTTATCACAATCAAAACATTGGATTGATACATCCGCACCAATCGGTTTCCGGTTTGTCTAGCGGTCGTTTCTCCTCCCGCTAACTCAAACCCGTGAAGCATTTGCGGACGGACAAACATACATACATACATAC